GATAATCTTTTTTATTTTTTGTTTTTTGAGACAGGGTCTTACTTTGTCTTCCAGGCTGGAGTGCAGGGATGCAATCAAAGCTTGCTAGTTTCAGCCACCTGGGCCAAACGATCCTCCACCTCAGAATCCCAAATAGTTGGGACCACAGGCATGTGCCACTACACATAGCTAAGTTTTGTTTTTTATTTTTTGTAGAGATGAGGGTCTCCCCATGTTGCCCAGGCTGGTCCTGAACATCTCAGCTCAAGGGATCTCCTGCCTCGGCCTCCCAAAGTCATGGGATTACAAGCGTGAGCCACCATGCTTTGCCCAATTTACATTCTTTACAAAGAACATAGCCTTTGCAAAACTAGACACAATTTGTTTCTCATCTTGGCACTATCTTGACCTAAGGGCTAAGAATGGAAACCATCTACCCTTAGACACAGCTTAGACAGTAAGGTCCAAAACTACCTGCCCTGATATGGTTTACTATCTACATTACCATGAATTTATTATTTCTTTGTCTTCATAAGTGTAATTTTACTGTTCTAGAAGACTTCTGCCCAAATAACTTAATCGTTCATTATAAGAACTTCCAGAGAAATCTATTAGCTTTTCAGGTTTTTTACTTTTATTTTATGTCGAGAGGGTCTCAGCTGTCACCCCCGCTGGAGTGCAGTAGCATGATCATAGCTCACTGTAGCCTCAAACTCGTGGGTCCATCTAAGTGATCCTTCAGCCTCAGCCTTTCAAGCAGGTAGGACTACAGAGGGGCACCATCATGCCTGGCTACTTCTTTTTTTTTTTTTTTGAGTCGGAGTTTTGCTCTAGTTGTCCAGTCTAGAGGACAATGGCGCCATCTTGGCTCACCACAACCTCTGCCTCCCGGGTTCAAGCAATTCTCCTGCCTCAGCCTCCTGAGTAGCTGGGATTACAAGCATGTGCCACCTCACTAAGCTAATTTTGTATTTTTAGTAGAGATGGGGTTTCTCCATGTTGATCAGGCTGGTCTTGAACTCCTGACCTCAGGTGATCTACCCACCTCCACCTCCAAGTGCTGGGATTATAGGCATGAGCCACCATGCCTGGCTTTACCTGGCTACTTAAAAAAAAAATTGGTTGAGATGGGGTCTCCCTGAGTTGTCCAGGCTAGTCTTGAACTCCTAGACTCAAGCCATCCTCCCACCTCGGCCTCCCAAAGTGATGAGATTATAGACATGAGCCACATGCCAGGCCTGTGAGTTCTTCCAGTAGAAAACCTCAACAGTTTATGCCTTAAGGCTCCTTGCACTCTGCTTTACTGCTTTGCTTTTCCTATCAGTCTTAAACTGCTGTATCTGATCATTGTCCAATCCTCATCAAGCCATCTTCCTCCAACCCCCTCCTACCCTCTGCCACTGAAAGACCAGCCTTAAGCCATACCCGTCAGTGAAATCTGACCTTGCTTTCCCAGTTTAATACACTACCAAAGCTCTAAGTGGTGTTCTTCCTTATCCCAGTAAGCAATAATTCAGCTGTCTTACCAAAATGCCATGTTGGTGATATTTGGGTAATTATCACTGGACAGGGCAGTACATCTATAAGCATAAAGACAAGGCAGAGGGATTTCTCCACAAATGTCTAGAAATACTGTAAAAATGAGCAAAGCTGAATTATACATCAGGCAAATTACGTCCACTAACAAGTCCATTAATCAGAAGGAAATGGGTTAGTCAAGACCACAATAGAAAGTTTCCTTGCAAGGGTGGCCAATGAGTCTTAAAAATTCTTTTTGATGAATTCCACATTTATATTGCAATTTGCCCAGCGCGGTGGCTCACACCTGTAATCACGGCTCTTAGGGAGGCAGAGACAGAAGGACAGGTTGAGCCCAGGAGTTTGAGATCTGCCTGGGCAATATGGCAAGACCCCGTTCTCCACAAAAAGTGAAAACAAAACAAACCAAGTATATTGCAATTTTGTAAGCTCTTCCTCACTACAGAGCTAGTCAATTATGACCCTGAACCAAGAAAAACTGAGTCTCAGATATCTCATATATCTTTGGGAGTTACCAAAAATAATTCTAGGATAGGCCAAGTGACTGCAAGAGAAATAAGCAGCTTTAAAATGAGGTCCTTCTGAAGAACAATCCAGACCAACAACAGCTTCACTAAATGTAAAGAACACTAACTTCTATGGAGTCTAATGACTTTCCAGCCAGGAAAAACACACAAAGCTGTGGGATCGGAAGGGGTGAAGGAAGCACCAGGTACCGTTCAAAGTTTACTTTTCACGGAGAGAAACTGGTCCCAACCGACTCTCCAGAGGACTTCAGGAGCCCCAACAGCTCCAGAGAAGGGGGAGGAGGTGGCAGAAACTAATAGGATTCCGTGGGACCCACCCTTCAACTGACTGAGGACTGGCCCGCAGCGGTGAAAGGCCTTTGGGGTCCCTAGCTTCGCAGGGGTTCCCCTGAGGGCTAGGGAATCCATACCTGGCAAGCTATAACCCGGCGAAAGCCGCACGCCATGTCTGCTTCAAGAAAATGCGCAGCAGTCCGCCAGTCCCAGCCTCGCCCCGCCTCCTTGTACGCCCCGCCTCCGCGCGCCGGAAACCCGCCTCGGAGGGTAATGCCAGCCAATCAAGAAGCCGCGTGCCTCGCCACTAACCTCTGCCCTGCAGCCGCGAGGGCGCGCGGGAAATCCCGAGTGCATCTGGAATCCGCAGAGCCAGTTGAGACCATGGCCACCTCATCTGTGTCTAAGGTATGTAGTGGCCGGCGCTCACTGTGGCTCTTCCGCCGTGTCATTACCCTTTGAAAAAGGAATGAGGCGGAGGTTACTTAGGTAGGCCTCCGATCCCTGGCTGGAGAGGAGGGAGGGAGCGGCGTGCTGAGCTGAAGCGTCTTTGCTCCAGATCAGTTGAGGCCAACTTTGCTTGGGGAGCGAGGACGCGGATCTGCCTTGTGCTGCGGCTAGCGGGATTTTTAAGTTCTGGTTGGTGGAGGTCGAATGTCCCGATGATGCCCCAGTCTCTCTTTTTTCCCTCTCACAAATACTGTGCGCCAAGCACTCTGTTAGGTACCGAAATGCAGTGGTAAACAAAACACTCAGTTTCTGCAGTCTAGAAAGTCAGTAAATGATAAACTGACAACCACAAATTGTGTTAGCAAGGAAAAGAGTTCTAGGCAGGCAACAGAAGAGAAGGAAGAACCTAATATAGGTTGTCGGTGGTTAGCGGAGGCTTTTTGGAGAATGTGTTGCTTTGGCTGAGACCTGAAAAATGAGTAGAAGTTAGGCTAAGGATTAGGGTGAGGAGGGCAGAGCGAACATGTTCTTCCTCCCAGAAGATAGAAATAAAATGGCATATTAGAGGAATTTAAAAATCGTAATCAGAGAGTAGACGAAGAGTGGGAGCATTATGAAAAATGAGAATGAAAAAGTAATGGGGATGCGGGTGTATGTGGTGGAGGTATATTATGGAACTCCTCATCTTGGCTGCCTAGATGGCAAGAAATTGCAAGACATAGTGTGGTTGGTAAGAAGATAAGCCCTAGAGCTGTATTGTCCAGTGCGTTAGCCAGTAACCACATATGGCTATTTAAATTTGAGTTAAAGTAAGATTAAGTAAAAATTCAGTTCCTCCGTTGCACTAGCCATATTTCAAGTACTCAATCACCACATGTGGCTGTGGCTACCATATTAGATAGTGCAGATATATGACATTTCTGTCATTACAGAAAGTTCTGTTGGATGGCGCTGCTCTGGACCACAAAAAGTAAGACCTTCAATTCTAATCCGCATCCCCATTACTTTTTCATTCTCATTTTTCATAATGCTCCCATTCTTCGTCTACTCTCTGATTATGATTTTTAAATTCCTCTAATATGCCATTTTATTTCTATCTTCTGGGCAGAAGAACATGTTCGCTCTGCCCTCCTCACCCTAATCCTTTGCCTAACTTCTACTCATTTTTCAGGTTTCAGCCAAAGAGCCACTTTCTCCAAAAAGCCTCTGCTAACCCCCAGCAGCGGGAAGCCCCTGAAGTTAAGCTGTCTGATAAACCTGAAAAATGCAGATGAAGAAGCTACATTCTCCCTATTTTAAAACATTGGATTAATGAAGAAGACTATATCATGGATCTGATTTTTTATTTTGATTAAAATGGTTTATGAGAAACAGTGCTTTTCAAGACTACATGTCAGGGAGGAAGTACAAGCCCTAGGGTTTAAGATTATGCTAGTAGAGATTTAAAGGTAGTAGTATTTTTATTAGAATTGGTACTGGTTTTGTTTTGTTCTGGTTGTAATGTTCCATAGATTTTGAATGGTCTATCCCTTAATCATGTTTGTTGCATAAGCACCTCTTATTTCTATGTATCTTGCAGAAAGTAAGATTTTTCAGGAAAGCATTTTTGGTATTATAACAGAAATATCTGTATTGGGGTGAGACCTTACATGAATAAGAAGCTTTAAGAACTATTTCATGAATTTATGGAACTGCAAGCTTTATTTCTTTTTTTTTAATTTTTAATTTTTTGAGACAGAGTCTTGCTCTGGTACCAGGCTGGAATGCAGTAGCACAATCTCGGCTCACTGCAACCTCCACCTCCCAGGTTCAAGCAATTCTCTAGCCTCAGCCTCCTGAATAGCTGGGACTACAGGCATGCATGCCCAGCTAATTTTTGTATTTTTTTTTAAGCAGAGACAGGGTTTCATTATGTTGGCCAGGATAGTCTCTATCTCTTGACCTTGTGATCTGCCCATCTCAGCCTCCCAAAGTGCTGGGATTACAGGCCTAAGCCACCATGCCCA